TTATGCCACCTACAGCAGCATTTTGTCTCTCTGAATTGATAGCATTTCATTCAACGATGCTAAAACATACCCCTTCAGCTATGAATGCAGCCTGCAGCAAAACAAGGAAAAAATCTGAACAATCACAGCCATTTATTCTTGTTCAATTGAAATTATAAAGTATGTTTGAATCTCATTCTGAAGCATGCAAACTTTAAAAAAAACTTGTGTGGTTCTGGAAGGAAAACAGAGTTTGCCCATGATGTGGTCAGGAAGCATCCCAACCTCAGTCTGACCAGGCCAGGAAGGGAAGATCTCCCTTCTCTGCATCCTAAGGATGACAGAATGAGGCGGGTCGTTGCCTGCGCATTTCTACGTGGCATTTCCTCAAAGGTGCACACACAGAAGGCACCAGCAGTCTGCATGGATTTGAACAGACCTGGAAGCAGCACATGTTCTCCTTTTTCAGAGGAAGATATTAACTTTGGTTCATGAAGGGCCACCTGAATACCAAAGTTGCAGAATATTTTCCTTACAAAGACTATTCTGGAGCCTTCAGTTTGGATGATTCTTAGCAGATAGTTCTCTGAGAATTTCAAGTCTTGCAAGCTGACTAGAGGAAAAATATCTATTATTTCTTACAGTCTGGCAGTACCTGCCAATATATAGGACTACATATAGGATGCCATATGCAAACAGCTTCTGTCCCAAAGAACATACAATTCAAAACACGCAAACAGGCAGCTATGGATAGAAACACCAGGGAAGGGCAAAGGAAAAGCAAAGGATCCTCAGTGGTTCGATGGGCAGACAAGTAGGTGGACATTTGCCATTTAAATGCAGCCACAACAGGACACAGTTCTTGTCTCTCCTGTTTAGAGGTCTTCCTGCTGCATAAGAGGTAATAAAGGGGAACTAATGGATAATGCTTTAGACTCCTAACACTGTTTGAAATACAAGGCATTGTACGTTAACCTTGTGGAAAGAGGTCAATGCACTGTCATTGCCCATTACCTGAGCCTTCTGAGCCTTGTACTGTTTAAAATAAGCGTGTTTATGTAAGCATATCTTTTGTTGGAATAGTCAGAAAATAAAACAACAGGAAGATTTAAAAAAAAAAATGGTTTAAGCTCACTAGTAATAGCTGAAATAGAGATCCCAGCACATCACAGCCATACAGCATAAAAGAATCGTGCTTATCTACACAGTCATGGGCAATCCTACTGCTAAAGAGCTACATCACTGGAAGCTAAGGCAGGTGGACCATAAAGAGGAAGGTAGTTAAGAGCTCTGGTTCCAGCCTGGTAATTAGACTGGCACATAGGAAGCCTTGTAGGGGCTGTGGGGGCCTCAGCTGAGCTCTGCACAGCTCGAGGTTGAACTCTCCACTATCCATTTGCATCAGTAGGATACAGCCCAAGCCTATGCTGGACCTGCAGACTGAGTGGCTGAGGCACATATGCAGCCCGCAGGCATTAGGTTTTTTTCTCCCTAAACCCAGTATGTGCAAACCACAGACTTCTACCAGGCTTGCCCAAGATCTGAATGGAGTTTACCTATATATCATTGGAAAGCTGAGTGCTGGATGGTGGTTTCTACCTCAATTAGGTTAGGCCACCTTCAGGGTGCATTTGGGTTTCAACCCAAATTGGTGGCTTTGGTCCAGATTCATTCTGTGGTTTGGCTTAGAAATCAAAGTAAGGTTTAGAGGTAGAAACCTTCACAGAGCTTCTCACAGTTCCAGAGCAGCGCAGCACTGATGGAAATGAACTAGATAAATGAACCTGGCTATGAGAACCAGCTGTGGGACAGGCAGATGACACCCGAGGTTGCCTCCAGGCCTGCTTTTCATAAAGCCTGTGCCTGGTAAAGGCATTTAAAACAAATAAAGGATCAAATACTCCACGAGAAGTGAATGACTGCATCAGAAGATAGACTAGACAGTGACCAACCAGCCCCACGTGAATGTGACCCTGTTTTGACTGTTGCATGTAAAAAGCAATTGCCACACATAAATTTGTTGACGCCTTGAATGTTCAGATAAAAGCAAAACCTAGAATAAATTAGTGATGCTTTGCTTATTAAAAGCCATAGATTTTAAGGTTACAGTATGATTTTACAGGAGTTGCCTCCTGGAGCACCAGGAGGGGCATGCAGAGGGGAGACAAAGGGAGTCAAGGCTTGACGTGGAAGTGGAGTGGATGGGTATTGCTACAACGTGCATGAGAAGATGCTTTTTTTTGTCCCTGAGATTGTCCTGCTTCATCTCCTCCTCCCTGCTCCACTGCCCATTATCAGCATTTAAAACACCCCCAGAGTCTTCTTGAACAGGTTTGCTGTACTCATTAAAATACTGTGAGCACTTAGTGGCTATAATGAGCACTCATTAAATTCTGGTAAGTGCCAGGACTGTCCTGTGGAGTTGAACAGACTCAGGTTCTGGGAGGAGAGCTCAGGGGTGGCAAGATACTGGAAATACTATATTTTCCACAAGAACAGAACTACAAACTCTCCCCTCCTTTTTTACTCTGCAAGCACTGGGGTAACTAAGACCTGCTAAGCAGCAGCTATTGCTTACTGAGTACTCAAATCATTCCTCCACCCCAAAAGGACTCTCAGCTCCTCTTATCAGAACAGGAACAAATTAAAGATTTTTCCATATTTGCATCTCCTCATTTGAGGATTTTCCTCCATTTGTTATTTAGAGATAAAAGTCTGCCTCTCAAAATTCACTGAGCAAAGTGGTTTTCTCAGCCTCAGGGAATGGTGCAGGAGGGATTGCAGAGCAGGATCCAAAGCAGTTGGCGAGGCTGCAGGAGCAGCAGGAGATCAGGAGATGAATGGGTGCACACCGGGGCAGGGATCGCATTTTACATGCCCTGTTCTTATATTTATTTCCAACTGTCAGTGTCAGACACACACCCTGACTAGCGTGGCCATGCCTATAACCATAAAGCAGTTCCCACTGCAGGATGCAGTGCTAGGTAGTCTGTGTTTTTATCACCAAAAGCTGTCCATTGCCTACTCACAGTAGACAATATGAATTAACTAAAACCACATACAAATATAATTTACCTTGGACTAATCCCCAGTGAGTCACAGAGGTTAAGTGACTATTTAAGAAAACTGAATCAGACAAGAGCTTGAAGATTAGTGCATCCCCAAAAAAGCTGGTGTATATCCTAGTGGGGCAGAGAAAGCTGCTGGAAGGGGGAGGTTTCTGTAAGTATCCGTAGGAGGTGGCCCTTCTACAGATGGCCTGCAAAATAAAACACACCAGGAGCAGGCTGTGAGGGAGAAAGGAGCAGAGAAGTTCCCAAGCAGCTTGTAGAGAGTAGACTGACCATAGCAGAAAGCACAGGACTGATATACTGAGGTTATGTTATTCTAAAGAAATTAAGTTGCATTCCTGAAAAGCTGGAATCTGAAATCCTATTATTTTGTGCTTGGGCTGATACCCATACCACTGCCTCTATGATCAATGTATGACCAAGTCTTCCATCAGCTCAGAAATATCTACTTTTCAACTACATTCATCTAATGACTACAATTCAGCACAAAATATGTATTGAAATGGCATCAATTTCCCAAGATTAAATAACAGGTCTAGTTGGGCATTAATTGCTCCAGTTTGGTTCACTCTTCACTCTCTCACAGGAGCTTTTTGTGGATTACTGCTTTATAATTGCTTGCTCCCTAAGCACACATGCATTGCAATCTTCTGCACACCTTGACAGCATCCTGGTTAGAGAAAATGAATGCTACATGTTCCCCCGACACAGCATTTTGTCTGCTGGATACAGTAAGTCAGAGATTGTTTACTCAACTTCTCATGGCCCATTAATGACATAATGTTGGACACAGCTGTTCAGGGCTTCACAAGACCAAGCAGAGCAAGAAATGCCAGGAGACTGCTCACATCAGAGCTGGGCTGGGAAAGTCCTTGAAAATGGTCTAGGGGAATTTAGCCTTACAGCTCTCTCATGAAGTAAACCCAGGATTAAAGCCTCAAACTTAAGTTTCTACTGAAGACTTAAATAATCTTAAAATAACTCAATCTGACCATGACTGCTTTGAAGAAGAGAGGACCAATCATTCAATTTTCACTCTGCTTGGCCAAATTAACTACTGAAAAACTAGGACCTGCCATATATAAAGACTCTTTAGCCCTGGAAGTGAGATGTGCCTGGTTCATCACATCCTGACTTTCAGTGTGTTTGAGCATGAGAGGTGAAGCTCACCCTGTAAAAGGCAATTCAAGTTCAAGGCACCCCTTGAGATCTCAAAAAGAGTCTGAACAGAGTTCAAGTGATGCACAGAGTGCTCTGGGCCCAGAAGGTACGACCTGCCATAGTGCAATCTACATCCCAGTTCAGTTGCTCAACATTTTTCTAGGGGATTCTGGAGAACTAACCCCAGCCAAGGCGTCTGTGCAGCAAGGGAGTGCTGCTGGCAGGACTGATGTGCATCAACCACTGCACAATGAGGATAGACATACTCCAGCTAAATACCACGCCCAGAGAGCTACCCTGGAAATGTTATTTTTCTTCACAAAGCTTCTGGAACCATGTAATTATGGAACAACATGAATTTTCCCTAAGCAAAAGGTAAATCAAGTTTTGTGACTTAGTCACGGAGAAAACCAGAAAAAGTCTAAGAGAAAAACTCAAACCCTTTCTCATACCCCAATTCAAAATAACCTATTTCATTAATTTTAAAACACATTATAATTGAAAACTGGGGGAAGGTGGTATATATTGTTTACATACATCCATGTATATAAATAGCAGGTAGGAGGAACATGATTTGCAATGCTGAGCTGATTGCTCAGCTTGGCAATACTGCAGACATCTCTAGCAGAAAAAGAGGATCATTGGGTAAATTTGTTCCTCCTTGTAATAATGGCTATCCATGGCAACTCAAACACCCCGTTATCAAAGCCGTATCTGAATTCATGCTCAGAGGAAAGACCATTACCCTCCCTCATCTTCCCCAGACTTTTCAGGGTAACCCTTACTTACAATTGTGAAGTTCATAACCTTCAGAATCCAGATGGTCATAGCAAGGTTCACCAGGATTAAAATCATTAGGAGCAGCACAAAGAAATAGAGGCATCTCTTCCTCCAGCCATAAATCCCCACTTTGTATACCTGGGGTCCTTCCGAGGTCTGCATGGTGCTCCGATGTGCGTACTGTTCCTGAGGCATCTGAAATGATCACATAGAAATAACCACGTGTATTAACCGGTAAGAGAAAGCCGATGATAAAAACTCCTTGTGCCTGTGCCTCTTAGAGGGTTTTGTTTTTTTTCCTTTTTAAGAGTTTACCAGCTGGGCAGCATCTCTTTCGATATCTTGGTTCTGCATTGTTTTTCTTTCTGCTTACAGTATGCAGTAATGTACCAAAAGAGACTCTTATTTGTTAAATGTGTGTGTGTGTATATATATATATATATTTATAAATACAAGTAAGCACACTGTTTAATGGTATCCTATGGAGATGACTCTTGAGCAACTCTGTTCACCGCCCCAGGTTTTGCAAGGCAGGCACTCCAGGGCCTTTAAGGATCCTGAGGGGAAAATTTTGCATGCGTTTAGTAAAAGCAGTTGACTTCAGCAGTTTGTTTTGAAGATGCAATATTACTTTTCAGAGGCTTTAATTAAAAAAAAAAAAAAATCTCAAATAAAATTATTTATTCCAGCCAAAGGAAAAAGGCAAAGGGGAAATGTTTGCCTTTCTCCCTTCCTGTACCCCAAGCTTTCTTAACCAAGTCAACCTGAAGCACAAGGTTCTCCAGCTGCCACATCTCTAACAAATTACACCCAAAATATCTATGCTGGTTTAACAAGACTCTGATACTCTGGGTGGGCATGGCATGCTAGGACAACACCAGGGGCCAAAAGCAAGGAAAGAGGGAAGGAAGGAAAGCTGGTGCTGTGGAAAGCAGTACAGCAGCATCCCCAGGAAAAAATTGTCTTACAGTCCTCTGTGGTGACCACCGTCCCCTCTCCTACACCCTGGCACCCAGCTGGCTCTGGGCAGTTGGGAATGTGGCTGCCCTCACTGCGGATGGAAAGAGATGGATGCTTTCCAATGGCATTGGAACCAGCTGGGACGGGGGTCCAGGACAGCTGCTGCACAATGGTCGTGTGTGAAAGGCTGCGTGTGCACAGGGTTGCAGATGTAGAAGTATTTCATGCCACACACGTGAAAGCATCCATGTTCTCATCCTTCACATTCAGGGTGTGGACAGACACTTTCATGGGCTTCCTCCAGGGATCATTCTCCTACGTTTTCAGACTTTTTTGACGCACAGACTGAGGATATCATATCATCTCTAATAACACATAATTTGCTGAATGTTTTGCATTTTAGACTCTAAACAGATAAGAAACCACCAAATGTGTTTTTGCACTACTGATTCAATGCCACAGGCTGCTTCCTCAGGGTATCTGGCACTGATGTTTGTATGCAGTGAATTACAAAATTCACATCAGAGGAGGAAACAATGCGAGTTCCTCTCTGTGGGAGCATGATCCGCAAGGGCAGAATGAGACAACAGTAGAAATCAGATGCTCATTGATAGCAGCTTATGTTTGTTTACCATTAGTTTCCTGGGTTTTTTTCCTTACTTTTTTGCTAATAGCTTCATACTCCAGCAGCTAATACAGCGTGCAGTCTGCAGTGGCGCAGAGCCCATCGCTGGCTGATACAAGGTGAGTTTCTTCATGGCATAACTTTTATTCCAGTAGCACTGCACCAGGGATGAAGCTAACACTTTATCTTTGCTGCTCCAATGCTGAAGCCCGCACATATGAGGCAAGGGCTGCCTGAAGAACAAGTTACTTTTTTTTTTAAACCTTTCACTGCTCCAAAAGTTGTAAAGACCTGTGTTTTCTAATGCTGCCTGGTGTTGTCACCTGCAGCATAGGGGATCAGCACCTCTCCCTGCTTTCATAAGCCTTCACCCCTCACTCAGGCTGAAACATGGTCTCAGGTGCTAAATTAATCAGTTCAGGCCCCAATTCTTTTCAGATTAGAGGCATTGACACCTCTCCTGATCTGGACATATAAAACAAAGCCAATTTAGTGGCATATTCAGGAAGGCTGTGTTTAGCCAAGGGAGGCTGGTGTGCTCGCACCCCTGTTCTCATCCCAACAGCAAACTTCCTCCAGAAGGTAGAGGTGTCCATCTCTGCTTCCTTCTCTAACATCAGCAACTGTGTCAATCCCCCACACTCAAAATTCATGACAATGGCTGAAAACAGGAAGATTTTAAAAAATAGTAACAAACAAGGTGCTCCAATCTTTTTCCTCTCAGGTTTATGAACCATCACATTTTAAATAAATTTTTTCCCTATCTGCTTGAGGGCCACAGTCCACCCAGGCGAAAAAGTAGGTCAGACTTGTGCATCAGCGTGGTGCTGCAAAGGACACTCGCAAGAAGAGACTCAGCACCAGCGCTGCCCATCTGCAGGCAGCTGCCAAGCTGAGCTCCCTCCTGTCGAACGAAGGCTGCTCGCTAAACTAGAACTAGAACAAGGCGAGCCTCATCCAGCCCGTCCACGCCTCCAAGCCTGCCTGCTTTTTCCAACTTTCTCAGCTGGTCTAAAAAAGGGATCTCACATCCTCCTCCAAACTATACTTAATTTACAACCTCCGACTACCCCAGCCCCAGATAATGCTGTGAAGATCTGCAACATCAATTAGTGCAGACAGTCATACCATGTCAGGAGGAACCAACAGCAAAAGAGCCTCTTCTTAATACAAGTTGGCTCAGCCAGTTTAGCCTGGCTAAATGTGCATTAAAAGTCCATCACTGAAGAAAGGTGTGTCTGTACCAAAGAGCAGTTTTCAGTAGTATAAGTGCGCTCATTGTAAATCACTTCTGCTGTTTGGACCAGCTGGGGCATCTACCTCTATAGTGGAAAACCACTTGAAGCGCAGGCAGAGCCATAGCTTTTACCAAGGGAGAGCAAAGCAAGTTGGTGACAACAGATCCAACTTGGTCTGCACCGGTGTTTTTGCTCACAGATGCCACATCAGCAGCTGTGGAGGACTTGCAGCACAGAGCTTGTCAGAGGGAGGAGATGGGTCATCAACAAATACACACACTTGGAGAAAAACAGGTCTTTTTACAGTGCTACAACCACTCAATCTGTGCAAAGGCAAAACTTAAAACAACAATAAATTACAGAGTTTCCGCTACCTGGGGGAAATTATAACTACAACTACTGCACAGTCAAGGATTTTATTGCCTAATATTTTAACGGGATCCTGGAAACCATGTCTTAAATGCAGCCTCTCCCTTGGAGAAAATGAATAAATTGCATTGCTAACGCTCTCAAATCATGGAAGAAGTTTGACCAGTAAGAAACAATATCTCTTTATTGCAAAACTTGTTTATTCTCTTTATCTCTTTCCTGCTCTCTCTCTCTTTTTTTTCTTTCTTTTTCCTTCACTTGCAGCCTCTAGGATGAAGAAATGGCATATCCAGCTGGGACAAAACTTTGTAGACATCAAAAGAACTTATAGGAACAGAACATAACTACAAAGAGCAACTTGCATCCACACAGCAGCTCAATTGTGAGAATTTCTCTGGTTCTGATAAAATATTTTAGCACACAGCAGCCCTAACAGAGATAGAGCAACTAAAGTACTACAACACAGAAGACGAGTATGGCTTAGTAATACAGCATAAATTTATAACAAGAAAATAACATTGGAATCATAGGTAGCATGTTCTTTCTATCCAAGCTCTCATACAACTACATTTAAAGCTATATATGATTTCTAGCTAGCATTCTGCTCTGAATTGTGAATACCAAAAGAAAATGCTCATGTCTGTAGTTCTCCAGGAAGGGAAGACAGAACGATGGACAGAGAGTACTGAAGTGTGTTAAACAAATGAGTAGAATAAGGCGGCCTGCAAGGCAACTACACAAGGAAGTGGCTACATTCACTATCAATAATCTGCTCTTTGTGGGAAGGAAAAGTGTGCTAGTCATAATTTACATTTTGGCAATTTCTCCTGACTCAAACATTAAAAAGGACTAAGGCATCAGAAAAAAATATTGCTGTGAAAGGACATCCAGTGGTTGCATTTCAACGTCCACCCTCCTCCCCTCACCCTGCTCAAACTACTGAGCTAAGGGGAAAGGCTGCTAGTTGCTTAATAGGGGTTTTTTCTTCTTCTTCAGGAAAATATTAAGAATAACCACCTAATTTCATAATAGTAGTGAAAAGAAAATACTGAAACAAATATAGAAATTTGAAAGACTTCTTCCAAAAGTCAAGTCTGAAAGTGTCTGCCTGACATGAGAGGGCTTCAAGACACATGTGCACAGCACTGGATCACCACCAGCACATGTACAATCCCACTTACAATACAAAAAATGCAATATGCCCAATCTTCACAGTTTAGCCACAGACATTACCATGACTACAAAAGTATAGCCTGGAATCTGGGTAATTCTCCAAGGAATTCTTGCTGCTGCTGCTGCAAAAAAAAAAATAGGTAATAAGTTTTTGCACAAGACCTGTACACTGAGTCCGTATATATGAACACTGCAAACAGGGCCTGATACAAAATCGAGTCTGCTTAGAAAAGCTATTCATCCTTTTGCTTTAGCATACCTTAGAGATATGGTCCATGACAAGAAAGATTTATCTGTTTTTTTAAGACCACTGGAAGAGTCATGTCACCACATCCTCTGATCTGCACAGGCTGCTTGCTGAGTCCTTCTAGCAAAGAAGCTTCAGCACTTCCCTTCAGTAGAGCTGAAACCAGGCTCAGCTGAAAGGCATCACAAATCAGAACTGGTGCCTAGCTTCCAAAAATCACATCAGCTCCACCAGTTATGGCAAATCTTTATTGTGTCTCCCTTCCACCACATCCTCCTGCCTTGGCAGAAAGCTTCTCGCTCCGGGTGCTCCACCCAAATTAACGATTCACCAGGCAGAAGTGTTTTATATGCACAGGGATGGATAAACAGCTTTCCCTTGCAAACACCAAAGCTGTAACATCCTCTGGCCATGTCAGCTTGGTAGGCTCAATGAGGACTATGAACGGGGTGAGGCATAACAAGAGGAATCAATAATGTTTCTGTGCCACGGGGGTTTCTTTGATCAGCGCTTAGATGATGTATGTTTAGTAATAGAACAATTTTAAGCCGAAAGGGGATGCGATCTGTGAAGGCAGCTTCTC